TGTCTATACAAATCCTGCCTATTTTTTAAAATTGGGTTATTTGTCTTATCTAGTTGTAAGATTTCTTCATATATTCTGGCTAAAAGTATTTTATCAGAAATATGATATGTGAATATTTTCCCATTTGTGGATTGTATTTCCATTTTCTTGATGGTCTCTTTTGAGGTACAAAAGTTTTAAATTTTGATAAGTCCAATTTATAAGTTTTTCCTTTAAGGATTATGCTGTTGGTGTTACATTTAAAAGCTCTTTACCTAATCCAAGGACACAAAGGCTTTCTACTACCTTTTTCTCTAAATACTTTACAGTTTTAGCTCTTAGAATAATGTCTATAATCCATTTTGAGTTCATTGTCTACAGTATGAAGTAAAGCTCTAAATCCATTTTTTTTTGCATGTGGCTATGCAAATGGCTTCCTATTTGTAGAAAAGACTATTTATCCCCCCATTGAAGTGCCTAAACAGCTTATCAAAAATCAACTTATCATAAATATAATGATTTATTTCTGGACTTTCAATTCTGTTCCATTGATCTAACCTTGTGTTAGTGCCACACTGTCTTAATTACTGTAGCTTTACATTTTAAAATTGTAAGGTATAAAACCTTAGGTTTTATTTTTCAAGATTGTTTGACTATTCTGGAACCTGCCATGCCTACCTGGAATAAGTACTACTTGTTCAGGGTATATAATTATTTTTATGTATTAAAATATTTGGTAATATTCTGTTGAGGATTTTTGCATCATTGTTCAGGAAGGATGTTTGCTTATAATTTTCTTTTTTTGTTGTATCTTTTGTAATGACTTTGCACTGGTCTCCTGAGTAAGTTGAGAAATGTTTCCTCCTCTTCTATTTTCTGGAAGAGATTGTGTAAAATTAGTGTTAATTACCCTTTAAAGGGTTGATAGAATTCTCCAGCGAGACTATCTGGGTCTGGAAATTTCATTTTGGAGAACTTTTTAATTAAAAATTAAATTTCCTTAATGGCTATATATTTGTAATGGCTGCAGTATCTGGAATATCTCCTATTTCATTCCTGATATTGGTGATTTGTGTTTTGTTAGTCTTGCTGTAGATTTTTAAATTTTACTGATATTTCTTAAAAACCAGTTTCTTGTTTCCTTGAGCTTTTTTGTAGTTTTCCTATTTCCAATTTTATTTTCTGCTGTTATCTTTATTATGTAATTATTTCTGTTTACTTTGGGTTTATTTTGCTCCCTTTTCTAGTTTCTTGAGGTAAGAACTTAAATTATTGAAATGACATTGTCCCTCACTTTTAATGTATTAAGTGCTATACGTTTCACTCTCAGTACTGCTTTAGCTGCATCCCACATATTTTGATATGTAGTTTTCATTTATATTTAGTGCTACATACTTTAAATTTCCTTTAAGAATTCCTTTTTGCCCACAATTATACAGAAGTGTGTGTACATAGTTTCCAAGTGTTTCAAGACTTTCCTGTTGTCTTTGTTATAGATTTCCAGTTTGATTTTATTTTAGTCAGAGTACATATTCTGCATGATTTTAATTCTTTTATACTTGTCAAGGTTTCTTTTATGGCATGTTTTATGTTTGTTTATTTTCTATTTGGTGAATGTTCCATGGTAAATTGAGAAAAATTATTCTGTTGTTGTTGGGTGGTCTGTTTTATACATGTTAATTGGATCTTATTGATTGTATTGTTCAGATATTCTATATTCCTCAACTTTTTGCCTAATAATTCTTCTGTCAGGTCCTGGAGGGGAGGGGTGTTGAAGTTCCCAACCATAATCATAGATCCTTTCCTTTCTCAGCTTTTGCAGTTTTTGCTTCATGTATCTGAGGCTCTGTGGTTTAGTTGGTACACGTTTAGTGTATCTTCTTGGCATATTGGTCCTTTTTTCATTACACAATGTCTTTTGTCTCTGGTATTTTTCTTTGCTTTGAAGTTCACTTTATCAGATATTAATGTTGCCACTCTATTCTTTTTTTATTATTAATGCATCCATGGTATGTCTTTTTCCACCTTTTATCTACCTGTGTATGACTTTGAAATTGGTGTTCCAGTTTCTTATATGCAGCGCATGGTTGGATTTTTAAAATCTACTCTGCCAATCTCTTTCAATTGGTATATTTAGACCACTTACATTTAAGATAATTATTGATATGTTAACACTTTAATATGCTATTTTGTCATTTATTCTCTTTGTTCCCTTTTCCTTTTACTATTTTTTTCTTTACCTTTCTTCAGATTACCTGAACATATTTTAAGATTCCATCTTGATTTATTTATAGCACTTTTTGGTTTGTCTCTTAGTGTTGCTTTCATAGTGGTGGCCCTGGGTGTTATGTTATATTTTTAACTGTGTACTGATACAACATTTACCATTTTAATAAAATATAAAAGCCTTACTTCCATTTAGGTCCCTTTACCTTCCCCACCTTTAAATATCATTGTTTTGAGTATTAGATGATATTATAGTTTTTGTTTCAATCAGCAAAGATGATTTTTTAAAAATCATAAGGAAAAGAATTGTCTATTACATAGATTGATACTACTCCTATTTTTTCATTTTGATTCCTAATGCTCCAAGTTTCCTTTTATCATTTTCTTTGAAGAACATTTTGCCAGCCTTTAAAATGTAGGTCTGCTCATCACAAAAATCTTTTAGTTTTCATTCATCTGTGATGTTTTTATTTTTCCTTCCTTCCTAAAAACAGTTTTTTCCAGATATAGAATTACGGGTCAACAGTTCTGTTCTTCAGCACTTAAAAATATTTTGCCATTTCCTTCTTCATGGTTTCACAAGAGAAATCCATTCAAATTGGTGTTCCCCATACAGGGACTACATTGTATTAGGATTTTTAATTTGCCTTAGTTCTCAAAAGTTTAGTTCTGATGTATTTTGGCATGGAGTCTTAGTATTTATCCCAGGGATTTACTTTGGCTTGAGCTCCCTCAGCTTCTAGATTCATTCAATCTCTAGGTTGTTGTCTTGCAACAAACTTGGAAATTTTCCAGCCATTATTTCTTCAGATGCTCATACCTACTCATACCAATGCCAACGATATGAATATTGGATATTTTGTTATTGTCCACAGTTCCCTGAGGCTCTGTTCATTTTTTCTAGTCTATATTCTATTGCTCAAATTGGGTGAATTTTATTGTCTGTCCTCAACTTCACTGATTCATTAATTCTCCATCTTCTCTGCTTTACTGTTGAGCTCATCCATTGAATTTTCATGTTTTTCAGTTTACTAATTTCAATTTTTTGATAACTTCTATTTGTTTCCTGAAATTTTTTTTTCATTTAAGAGAATTTGTAACTGTTATAGCATTTTTATGATATCTGCTTAAAAATTCTTGTAATTTAACATCTTATTCATCTCAGTATTGGTGTCAATTATTTCATTTTTTATTCAAGTTTTGATTTTCTTGGTTCTTGGTTTGTATCCTGGACATTTTGTCTATCATATTAGGTCACTCAGGGTCCTATTTAAGTATTTTATTTTATAGGGACTTACTTTATTTAACATATGAGTCTTAGCCTACTTTTGTGGGCTGGGATTCCAATGGTCTTGATGTATTTGGTGCTGCTGGTGCTCACACTAGTCTCTGGTGATCATGCCTGAGGGGGAGGAATTTCCTCTAGCTGTATTGCAAGATATCCCTTGGTGAGGGAGGGTCTGGGGAAATCCTTCTATTGGTGCCCCCCAGCTAAGATTTCTCTAGGTCCAAGGGGAAAACCTCAGTTCCACAGAGACAAAGTAGCTCCCAGGTTCAGGCTGCTTTTTCTTGACTCCACCAGTCAGCCCTATGGGGACAAAAAGCTTCCTCAGCTGGGCTACCTGCTTTACCAGGGTCTCTCTTATTGGCTCCTCCACCCGTCTCAGTATCTCTCCATGGAAGTCTCTGGTGCAACAGGGAAGGAGAGTTCTTCTCCTAGTCATTTTATGTTGGCATGTCTCCCAGTTGGTCCTCCTCACCTGAGGTTGTCATAGGGACTCCTGCTAGGTCCAGAGGGAAGAAGAAACTACTGGGGTACCTTCTATTGCTAGGTGAGAAGTTGGAAAATGCCAGATCTGGGTGGCCACCTTCTTTTTGTTGGGGATTTCAAGATGCTCTACCTCTTTGATTTTCCTTTCGTCCTGGGTTCCCAGACTAGTTCACCTTCTCTGCACCCTTCACAGTTCTCCTTTGCTTGTTTCTTAAGTCATTTCCAGAGCTTTTAAAGTTGTTCTTAGTAGGGAAGAACAAGGAAAAAATGGTCTATGACATCTTGTCCAGACTGGAAGTCCCTTACCTACTGAATTTTATGTCATTACCTATTTAAAAAAATTTGTTTATGTTTTGCTAATTTAAGCCCAGTTACATTTAAAAAAATCCCAAAGAAACCTTTGCCTAATGCAGGCATATAACTTATTTTCTCCATATGTAATTAATGAGACTGAGGGAATAAGTGGATGTGTCAACACAGTAGAATCTAAGTTAAGCTTAAGGCCATTCACACAAACATATTGTTGAGGAACACACACACACACACAACCTCTTTTCAGGCCATCTCCTTCCAATCTGCTCAAGGAGTCTTTGTGTCTAGCACAAATGGATTCATGAAGCCCCCAAAGGGCAGGAGCAATAAAGCTTACTACAGGGAGTCATAGCCCCCACTCCCTGAGATTCTCTGAGCAGAACCTATCTGGGTACTTCTACTTGGTGAATCTCAACTCTGCAAGACTGAGCAGTACCAGGAGAATAGTGGCTCTAGAACTACACAGTTGGCCTGGCTCTTCTCTGAGCCTTAGGAGGGAATAAAACTTAATCCAGTCAAGTGCACCAAAGTAGTAATTTGAGGCAAAATGTATAGTCCAGTACATTTTCTTTCTTTCTTGTATCTTTATATACTATATTGTTCCCAAGAGGCATTTAAAGTGATTTTAATGGAAACATAATATAAATATGAAAATATAAATTAGATGTAGGCAAAAAAAAAGAGCAAGAGAAAAACAGGGGACAGGCATAAGTCTGGTGCAAAATTGCTTCTCTGTAATTTTCTACATTTGTAATACATAATCCATGAAGGGCACATTGCTGGAGTATGTCTTATGCCATCTCTGACTGGACCCTCAGGAACACTGAGGACCAGGAATGGGTGTGACATGGTGGGCTCCTAACATGGAGATATGCTACAGAGATAAAAACAAGCTCCCACAGAAACATCCCTGTAATACTCAATAGATTTTCTGCTCCTGTAATGTTTAATTTCCTCTGAAAGATTCCCGAGTTCTCTCTTTTAAAACGGCCATAGTTCTGAGCAGTGAAACCTAGCTGAAGAGTCAGGCTACTAAGTTCCTGAGGGATCATATCCCAGGCAGGATGTAATCACATCCACAAGTCAGAGACTATCTAAAAATGCAGAGTGTGAACCAAGCATAAAACTACAGTCATCAATTCCTCAAACTCTTATTTTTTATATTCTTCTATTTGATTCTCAGAATCGAAGCCAAAATTGTTAAATATAGACTTGTAATGTCCCTCCCAAGACAACTGGAAAGCCCCTCCCAGGTCAGCTGGAAATTTAGGTGATGCTGATGACAGGCAGGAGCTGAGACGTAGCCACATAAGTGTTTTGTGCTCGGTGACTAAATGACCACACTCCTTCCACTATGGGAGCTGTCTCTCTCCTGGAGAACAGAAGAACACAAAAAATCCCGGTCAGCTGGGAGATACTGTCTATTCACACAATACCCAAGGTGTGCTTCAAGGTAGTGCAAATCCGAGGTGAGGGCAAATGTCACCCTCTACTGGCCAATTGCATTAACACTTCTAAAGGTAGCTGTGAGCTCTAAAGACTTCAGAGGCTAGGAAAGTATATGGGACAGTACATCTGAATCTATAAAACTTCCTTGACTCTTCATGAAGCCAGTCTCTTCCCCAGGATCAGCTTTCTCTTCTTATCCACCTCTCTGGAGCCTCTGTCAAACACCTTTAAATTCCTGCAAATTTCTTACAAGCTCATTCACTATGTTTCTTACTGATTTTTAACATCCTCAAGTCTCCCTTAGGCTGAAAAAAAAGCACCCTGTTCCATTCATCAGCCCATCTCCCTGCCATTCATTCATGGAGACATGGCTTGGTTCTTCTTTTCCAATTTATAGTCTCCTGAAACATTTCCTCTCAGCCCTTTTTATAAAAGTTTAGTTTTATACCTTAGTATTTCTCTGAAGTTCTTTTTCAAAGATCACTAATTATCTCTTCCTGACCAAATTCAGTAGCTTTTCTTCAGACATTATTCCACTTGGTATTTCATCTTTTTCAAGTTGCTCTGTGAGGGCAAGGACTGTTTGCATCCTATTTCTCTATGTATTGTAAGGGATCATTTCTATTTAAGCTTTAAATATCTATAGCTATAGTCCATGAACATGACTTTCATCTTATTTGAAATGGCAGGAGAAGTATCTGTCCCCAAACAACTGTTCAAAATGCACTGTATATTCATGTTGCTAAAAGAAAAACGTGTGTGTCCATTTTATTAGTAAAATGAGTTTCAGGGAGCTCAATTTCTAAATCAAAATGCTGTGGGATGAGTGTTCTCTGACACAAAGGAAAGCAATGAAATGGGGCAGTCGAACTTGTCCAGGGCTTGCTGAAGAAAAACCTAGACATGATCAAGGAAAATAGAGATTTCATTGAAAATGGAAGATTAAGTACCCAGATCTAAAAAATATTTTTTAATTAAATCAAAGTCAATTAAAAAGAAAAAAATCTTGATTTCTCCACAGAAAGTTTAACTGGGAGAGGAAAGATTGCAGTAGTTTTCCTTTCCATTAGGCAGGTGTGTACAGGCCAAGTTTGGAACAAACCAGAAATGCTTTGGGAAGCCCTTCCTGACAGGGCAAGATTAGAAAGAAAGACAACTGATTTGAAAGTGGCCAGGAACACAGGTGCTACTCAGTCTGAAACCAGAGAAGTTTAAAGCTTGATGTTTGTTAAAGCTTCTTATATTTCTGAGGTTTTAGCTTTTGATGGAGTAAAAAGACCATCAGAACTGAAGTGATATTTTGGTTGGAGTCCTGGTTCTGAAATCAAGTGGGAAGTGCCTCAACCTAACTTCCATTTGCTCACAGGCACTGTGCAGAAACCAGTTCTTACCTATTTTAGGTTCCCATGATCACCTACATGGAAATCTTTGTCCCTTGGTGTTTGCTTGTTAAACATTAATCTTGAGCAAGAAGCTTCCACGTGATCCAAAAGATTTTTTGACTTATTCATATGACTATGACTATTTAATAAAGTACTTTAAATAAGTATTTTTGAAAAAATTATGGTAAAGCTGTAACTGCTGAAAGCTTGATTTAAGAAAAGAGTGATTCATTTCATCTTATTTACCAACTCAGGGAGTAAGCAGAAACTTCATTATACATAATCAAATGTCACCATCTAGTGGCCGAATTGTATTACCATTTCTGAAGTTGGCTGCAAGCTCTCAAGACTTCAGAGGCTAGGAAAGTGTATGGAAGCACCCGGTCCCACCAAGGAAAGAAGCAAAGAGCCGGCCCTGGAGACTTTCACTTCATTAAAGGCATTCAAATTTCAAGTTACCAACAAAACACTGTGCCCTTCAAACCCACCAATCTTCTAGATCAAGCTTTGGTCTGGGCCTGTGGTCACTCAGATAAAGTAAAGTGAGAACTCTATGGGAGACAAGCTCAGAGAGATACAAAACAATGATGGCTTTTTCAATTATCTTGAGGGAAATCTTTGCCTCTTGTGAGCAACTTTGCAATAAAAATTTGGTTTGCTTGTGGTGGAATTACCGGAGTATACATCTTGATGATAAAGGTAGTTGTGATACTTTCAGAAAATGAGGAAGAAATAAGGTTCCCAGAAAACATCATTGCCCCATGTGACTGCCCACTTCTAATAGGGCCGCATGAGTTACTGAAAAGGGCACAGGCTTGAGAGTCAGAGGGCTATGTTCAAAGGCTGGCCTCACTCCCCCACTGGATGTGTGATTTGGCACATGTTCCATAGTCTCTCAGGGCTGTTGCAAGGATTAAACAAAATAAGGCTTGGAAAGGGCTTCCCCCAGTGTCCAGAACATAACTGATGTTCCTTTTACCCTTCTCTCACTTAAAAGAAGCCATATAACTTAACTTGAGAAGAAAAAAACTTAACTTAGAGGAAAATAGGATTTGGATTTGGGGCCAAAAATTGGCTTTTTAAATTACATTTTTCTGTTAGAATGAAATGAGAATTAAGTCACTATATGACTAAAGTAACAGCAGTTGTCCTGGCTCTGACTGATTCTGTGTTTTCTTTCAGGATGTAATTTTCTTACTGGTAACATGGAAGAAAGAGTTGCATCCACTGTGAAATGCAGACAGCAGTGCAAACCTCACAGGGTGCTGTAAGGATTAAGTGAAACGTTGCATAAATGTCCACAAATGAGCACTACGCTGTAAGGATACCACTAAGCTGCACTATTACCGGTCTTTGCCTCTCTCAGGGGACGTCTGTGAGAATATAACCACCACTGATTATTTCAGAAATGCCTGCAGGCCTTCACTACCTTCCTCACAAATCATTCTCTCACCAAGGTTCTTCCCTGAAAACCAGCACTGTGTTCCTTTGTGCACACCATGTATGTGACTGGCTTTTAAACAACTCACAGCAGAATTTGCATTTCCAAATGACAGCTGCATCCTTCAGAGTGTGTGAGAGACTAAACTTCTAATTCCTATACTATCCCTCTGCTCTAGGAACTTCCTTCTGAGCCTACTACACGTTCCTTTACCTCAGGAGAGGCAGAACAGAAAAGGGCGTTAGTCAGAGAGGTAGATCTTTGTGGGTGGCGTGTAATTTGGCCCTGAAGGCAGTTTATGAATATTTTGGGGCAAGAGCTGGATATAACTTTGCAAAGTGACAACATTAAGGAATATCATCATTGGGTATATTAATTATAAAATGATGTTTTAAGATATATCTTTTAAAAATAAAGGTCTATGATCAGAGGCCCACATGGCCTATGGCTCTCTTTGTGCCCCTTTGTGCCTGGTCAAGTATGACTGGCACCCATGGGCACCTTGCCTATTCACAGAATCCTACAGTTTTGACACAAATTTGGGATACCAGGCTTTTTTTTTAAGTCAGTTTAATGATCCTCTTCAGGGATATCTCAAGAGGGCCTCACCTCAGGTATAGCAGGGACTTGCACACCCAGAGGTGGCAAAAATGTCCTGTCAGGCTGAGTGTTCTAATTTGGGATATGGAAATAGGGCTGCTAAGAAAAGCAAGGCGATCTGACAGGAAGTAAAGCCTTAGCCATGAAGGCCTGCGTTCATGTCTTAACCCCACTAATCACAAGGTGCTTCATTATTCTAAGCCTCACTTCCTCATCTGCATACTGGGGGGCCCTGCCTGACCTGCCTCAGGGCACTGTGCTGACGGCTGGACTGAGGATGAGAAGGCCCTCTGTCAGCATCAAGCATAAGCCTCTGCTCTGGCCTCTGTGCCTACTGGGTCCCTTCTAGCTCTCACGAGAGGTGGCTCACCGAACCCACAGGTTAAGGTGTGCAAAACAGGGAAGAGGTACCCTCAGCAGCGGCACGTGAGGTGGCCTCTGTCCGTGCTGACCATGCCTGGCTCAGGGGTCCTTTCTGCCCATGCCCGACCCTCAGCAGGATGACCCAGGCTCACCGAAGGCCTCTCCACACTCCCTTTTTTCCTGCCATTCTTGCTTGAGATGACATCCAGTGAGCGGTAGCTGGGTGGCTTCTCCTCTGGCCAGTTTGGGGAGTGAGACCTGCGGCGGTGGGCCGCCCAGCTCTGGGGCTGCCTCTCCTTCTCCTCCTCGGAGCTCCAGGAACTGAGGCTTGAGGGCGGGGGAGGGGAGTAGCTGCGGGGCCTTCGCCTCCGGGGCCTCTGCGTGCTCTTGTGGGGGCTAGGCCACCGGGGTCTCTCTGCATAGCAGCTCCTGAGAGAAGGGTGGTTTGGCCGCCAGTGGGCCCCGCTGGACAAGGGGCCGTCGCTGAGGCTGTCTCTGTCTGACCAGGCCGCAGGTGGCCCGTGCGGCCTAGAGCCGTGGCGCCTTCCACTCCACAGCTGGTCCCGCTCCCTTCTCTCCAATGCCCAGTGCTTAGGATCCTGGACCTGGGGCTCCTGGTGGAAATCAGAGGAGTGGCGTTGCCTCCTCCCCTCTCTCAGACCCCAGGGCCCAGGGGGAACTGGGGTGAGCCACTGCTGGTGGGAGGAGTTGCTGGTCCTCTGTGAGGACGGCGGGTCTCTGATCAGCGGGGGCAGGTGGATGATCCTGCGTTCTACGACCTCCGAGCCGAGAGAGGACAGCATGCTGCCGGGTTGGCCAGCTACAGCTCTGAGGTTAGGGGGTAGTGGCTGGGCTGCGTTAAGGTTCTGAAGCTCCTTCTCCAAATATTCCAGGATACCACTGGTGACGGGAGGGTGAGTGGTGATCTGGTTCACTGGCATCTGAGGGAGGCTGGATCGCAGGGACAAATCTGAATAGAAACAAGGATAAGGACATGCAGAACTGCCAGCCCAAAATATGCTATTCACAATCAGGGCACCAAAATGCCATGTCACTTAGCTTGCATCTACCCCCTCCCATTCTCAATCAGAAAGACACCCACCATATTGTTTATGAAGGCCCCAGTGCAGCCCGTGTGCCTACCCTTGCCCTCTGCCCTCTCCCACCCTAAATTTCTGGCAAGGATTACCTCGCTGCAGCAGCAGGTTCATTGGATAAGATGAAACCTGGGAGCTCCTGTCTGCCCCCCAGTATAGGGGTTTTTCCATCATCTGAGGGCCTAGGGCCTGAGCCTGCTTCATGTATCGGTGG